ATTTGAGGAAGGTCTGACTGTCTCTTTCTAAATATGTGAGAGTATTTGTGGACTAGTACATTTAATTTCCTCTCAAGTAGAAAAAGAGAAGTAAACCTAAACAAAAAACTTTTGCAGTAGACACGTGAATGTTCTGCATATTGGTCTTTTTATGTTTTTTTGGTTTTTTTTCTCTCTCTCCTCTGCCTGCCTTCTGCTTTGTCTTTCAGCTGTGGGGAGGATGAAACAGTGGTACAGATAATTTCAAACATCAGTCTGGCTCTGTTTTTTTGGCTCACATGCACACACACACACACACACACACACACTCTCGCAGACACAAACACACACTCGGCTGTATTCTGGCATCTGTCAGTGGCAAAACAATATGTGGATCAGAGGGGGAAACACAGGAAAGGTGAAAGAAGTTTAGAAAATTGCACAGGAATCTCTTGAGGCATTCACACACAGAAAGACAGAACAGATTTCAGAGCGTTCAAGGCTATCTGAAGTGCATCTTTTTCTTTACAGTATTCATATACAGGAGTTACAAAACAGACAGTGAGGTGAGTCTTCCACGCATCACGTCTCCCTGCACACCGACAGAAATTATCCTGCACAGGAGCCGAACATTTATTGCACAAAATTAGCTAATAGTTGTGAAAGTCTCTCCTTAAATCGGATTCTGTGCGCAGGCCCCCTCGCTGAAATGTTCCTTCCCGAGGGCCTAATTGTACTTTCGTGTCTGAACAAGGGGCTCATTGTAATGCGCCGGTAACATGGACCCCCAAATTGATGGACGCATAACAGGGTCATCATTCATTTGCATTTTAACAAGTCCTTCAGCTATGACACCAGATCGTGTGAATTCATTACCATACAGGGCTGCAGTTCATCCAGCATCTATTAGTGACGCCAATTAGTTTACTGGGACAGGTTTAGTGGATGCAAATAGGCCCTCGGACTCAGTCGTGCAACCAGAGCTGCCCAAACTTTTTTTTTTTCATGTCAAGGCTTTCATGACAGACAGACAGTCGACGGAGGTTTTCGTCCCAGTGACCCACATCTGAGAGGATTTTTTAAAAAACTTGTTAAATATGATTTTACAGCAGCAGAGTGGAGCTTCAGATTGCTGGAATTAACAGATTTGTATCTAAGTTTAGCTCGTTAGAACATAATTGAGCTATTGTTTGTTGTGTTTCTAGGATCTCTGCAAGTCCCTGGTTTAGAGCACCTGAGCATTTTTTTTGTCAAACGGTGTCTTTTTTTTTTTTTTTTTTTCCTGGACGGGGGGGAGAAGCAATGCTGCTGATGTTGCTCTGTGCCCTAGATTTGGTGTTCTCTTCTCTTGGATGTCATGCAGGAAACTTACAACCCAAATATCTCTGCAGCACTTCACGCTGCAAAGAAAAGAAAAGAAAAACAAAGAAACATTCCTGGTGAAACAGGGATAAAAATCAAACACAGGCAGATATATGAGAGGGAACAACAATCTCACACGAGGCTGCGGCTAAACTGTGAGGTCCAACGTTGAAGGGTGACAAACGAAATGATCTGCTTCAAGTCTTACTCAGCTGTCAGTGACCGAACAGGCCAGTCCAGCGTGAATGCACGCAACAGCTGTTTATTGTAAACCGCCACTTACAGGTTAAACAGGCCTCGCCACACAAAGCCCTGGTGTTACTTCAGTGAGTCACAGGTCGCCCATAAAAGTGCCAGTCATGCGCCTGCTGGGAGAGATACTGTGAGTTAAAACCAGCAGGAGGAACCTGTTACATGTATCTGAGGCCTACTCATCCATTTTGTATGCAAGGACACTGCTTGGCCTACATTAGTCATTCTAAAAAGAATGACTTTACCTTCTTCTATTACGCCTTTTATTCGGTTTTTGCTCTGAACACCTACGTTGACGACTGTTTAATATGCTGACAGTGGCAAATCGCCTTTAAAATGGAGGAAATAAACACAGAGTAAACATTTTCGCTACATCCTGATCCATCAACAGCCTATTTAGTTATAAAACTTGTTTATCTGACTCCCAAAATTCAAGGTTGCATCTGTGAAAGAGCAAGTAGGCTTCCAATTATAATGCAATCTCTTTTGATGGAGTTCAAATATCGAGGGAGGCTTTTATGGATAAAATTCTGTCTGGGTCAAATTGATTAAGAACATTTGGGAAAATGAACCAGATTCTGAGTGTGGATCGTCTGTTTGGTTTGTGTCTGGTGTGAGTTTACAGATGGTGACTGACAGACAAACGGATAGTGTGGTTATTTACTTATTGATTAGTCTGTAGATTCTTTTTACAGTTAATTAATTAATCAATTGCTGAGTCGATAAAATACTTCCAAAAGGGTCAAATGTTCGTTATTTTAGATCAAGTTCACTGTGGCTCTTCAAACTGTAAGTCAGTTAATCAATAATCAAAATTGTAGTGATTCTCAGTAATGGACTGATCAATAATCTCACCAATTGTTTCTGGAATAGTGTGCTGCGCATAAGGAATAGATTTTACAATGATTATATGGTGTAAGAGTTAACTATTAATGACTTAAAACTTGTAATATTACTGCATAACCAAATCAGGATTATTATTTAAATTTTAAAGCAGAATTTTGGTGATATTTCCCAAAAAAAGCCAACTATACATTTTATTTTATCATATTATTGACCTCTACGAGCATCCATGACCCATCCATGTTATACTGAATTAGTCCCACTCACACCATCAGGCGGATGTAAATGCACCAAATCTGCAGCTGAAAATAATCCCCAACCCATGCATTATTTACTCCAGCTTAAGCTGCATTTGTTAAAAAACCACAGCGCACAGCTGTTTTAGGAAACTACGTGGCCTTTTAAAAAACAACAATTTATTGACAATTTAATTCATCTGCAGGAAATGATGTGGTCTGTCAAAGTCCTTATGGGCGAGTCTCACCAGTCAGCTGTTATCTTAATCAGGCAGTTATTTCAGACCAGATTCCTATTTAAATAAATCGTTAGAGAGGAGCCATAATTACAGTTTCAGAGGTCACCAGGTCATGAAAACTGCACATGTAGAATCACAGGTCAAATCTGATAAAAGCTGTTCAAAATGTTTGGTGATTGACCCCAGTATGAGATTTTCCTACCGGTTACGGGACACCAAACTTGTATCAGTGCAGCGACATGATTGGCTGAAAGTTTCCTGGTTTGGCTGTTACAACACAGATGATTGGCCTGCACCCTAACCCTTTTTAAAGGCAGCGTCTTACAGGTGCCGTCAATGTTGGTGCGGTATCCTACTGGACATTCGTATTCAGGATTCTTTAAGTTTTTCCCTAATATCTCTGACTGCTCTGAATGTTACAATGAGGGCTGAAAGGTCAGACAGTATGAAGCTGTTTTGAGCTGCAGGAACTTGGAGTCCATTTCAGGGCGGTCCAAACCTTTCTGCAGTGTAGAATAGTCTGACTGCACCTCAGTATCATTCTGCTATACAGGAAAAATAATACACTAACTTGTTTACATGTTGTTGTTGTTTTTTAAGCAATTGCAGTTGTTTTAGGCAGAGCTAAGCAAAGCATGCAGCAATGGTTCCCCCAGAATAGTGACGGGGCAGTTTGGAAGAGCATTTGCATGCAGGAAGATGAGCACTGTCAAAAACTAGCAGAGCGACGCCACTGCATGATCCATTTACTCGGTAAAACTTCAACCTTTTAGTCGGGTAACCATTGTCGTTGTGGTAACACACAGGTAGCAGAAGGGAAAGCTAGAACAGCCTGAAATGAGCAGCCAGCGACATGCTTAGTGTCCTGAATCCAGTCAAAATGGACCAGAGTTGGAGTAACATCTTTTAAAATGAATCTATTGTATTGGTTATAAAACTGTCTGTACTGATTACTGGATCTGATACTCGGGCCCGTTTAGATCAGACGATAAAACAGTGACAAGACGCTATTTAAAATGTTGTACAATAGGTAGCCGTAGGCGCTTTAATAAAAAGCAGCTTCTCTTTTAGGTTCATGTCGTTCCACCTCTCGCAATCAGCTGACTCTTCATCTACATCAACTTCAGTATATTTAATAACGTCATGTAAAGTTTTACATCCATATTATGAAGTACAGAGGGGTGGGTCCAAATTTCTCACTTTTTAATGTACTTTTTCCATCATTTCTGAGCCCTTAGAACTTTATAAGTACAGGTGATTGACATGTACATTTTCTGGGTAGAAAACACATTGGAACTCTGTTAAAACTGAGACATTAAAGGTCTAATTTTACCTACATTTGAGGGCAAAACATCGTCAAGAACTTAAAGAGAAGTCGAGCTGCTTTTTAGTTGGTCTCCTAGGATCACCTGGATGACTGACAATCTACACGGACTGTGACGGCATCTTTTAGTTTACTACACCCGTGTTCATTATACATAGCTGATAACTGAATTCCCACCTCTGGAGGTGGTGCAGCTGTTTTATTCCACTGATTCAGACCTGCCTGTATGTTGTTATTGTTATTTCAGAGATGAAGTGTTAAGCATTATCCAGCAGCACAGGAAAACCAACAGTGTTTTTTTTTTTTTTTTTTTCCTGTCAAGGTGCTGCACCTGCTTACATCAGCTCCGCCCCCTTCTTCCTCCCTCCTCCTCCTCCTCCCTCCTCCTCGCGCGGGACTACAGCACCCAGAGTGCACCGCGCCGCTCTCCACTCTCTCTCGCTCTCCGCTGCGCCAGTCCGCCTCACTGACTCGCAGAACCAGTTGGTTTGGCCCAGCTTCTTCTTTTCCTGCCTGCTCACTGTGTGTGCTGCTGTTGTTGTTGCCTGGTGTCAACCTACGCCGCCGAGAGAGGAAGACATATCCCTCCCTCTGCTCTGTCAGAGGGCCGCTTCCAATTTGCCTTCACTTTCCTGCTCGCCGGCACCATTGGCTTCCGTGCCGTGCCAGTCAACTCGCCTCCTTTTTTTCCCAGCCCCGAGTTGAGCAGCAACAGCTCGGAAACATCTGGCCGCCGCAGAGTGCTAGACTCCCCGTCCCCTCCGCCTGCTCGCCGCCTCGGCAGCCCTGTTATGGAAATTAGTCCAAAGTCAATCTAGTTTGGTCTCCGCAGAGGGAAGAAAGGAGGATTTTGACGGAGGAAGCAGGGGAAGACGTTGGACCTTGTTGTCTGTAAGTGCTTGCCTCTTAATACCGGAGTCCGATTAAAGGAGGCTCAGGAGAGGGAAGAGAGGGTGGGTTACGGAGGGGAAAAAGTAGCTAAACCTTCCTTAGCATGACTGTGTTGGCTCCCCGCACCAATAGTTGCTATGTTAGCTGTCCCTCCGCGGTGTTTTAGCAGCTGTTGTCATAGCACCGGGGCCTTCCGAACAACTGTAAATAGCTCAATATTGTAGCTCGTCCGCCGTACTTTTGTTAGCCGTGGTCGGGCTATAGCTAGCTGCGTGGGTCAGTGTGTCTCCGTGTGTGTGTGTGTGTGTGTGTGTGTGTGTCCGTGTTTCTGCTGTTTGTTGTGTCTTCTGCTGAGAAATTAATTACAGTCCTCCGGTGTTGTTCGGGCGACTGTCTAACAGCCCGTCAGCGCTCAACGTTTGCCGAGACTTTTATGCTAATTCTTTTTTTTTTTTTTCCCTTTTTCTCACCGGACAAAAGCTGGTAAACGCTCGTCGTCGAGGAAAAAAAGCAGCTTTAAAATGAAGTGTCTAAACTTAGTGTCGAGTCCACGTTATGGCACAGACAGCCACGGCAATTAAACGTGTCAAAGTGAAACAGAAATTAATTAAAATATAAGACTTTTCTAACGCTGTAATTAAGGATAGTAAGGAGAAACTCCAGCGGGGAAGTTAATTACAAGTTTAACTTGGCTAATGTAATGTTTCCGACTTTCTCTCTGTTTTATTTCTTATTTCACTCAGCTGGTGGTGTATTATAAAAAAGAAAAAAAAAGTGTAATTATATGTTATTACACAGAAATATTTGTAATTAACTCCTAAATGTACACTTGGGTGTTACTCATCCTCAGGTTTTGTGGAGCAAATATAATTCATATAATTTACCTTTATGTGCAGCTGTGATAACTTTACCAATTATTGAGACATCACTGGGAGACAATATTTTGCTATATTAGTCTTTTAAACTTTTCTTAATCAGCTCAGTCACTAAAATAAAAAAGAAAATAAAAGGAGGAATTAGTGTTGGTAAAACTGTGCACACTTTTCCCAAAAATGAAAGCGAAATAAAGCTGTTGTAATAAGTTTCTCCCCGCCTTATTAAACCCTTGTATATCTTTTGTTTGGGATTCACACTCAGTGGGTTCTTTCTTTTCCTACTTGTTCCCATTGTTTCCTCATTTCATTTCTGTTCCTGTCACTTGTCCGAAGGGTCCGAGCAGGGGGTGCCTGGATAGATGGATGGGCGAATGAATGAATGAGTGGGTGAATGAATGAATGCAAGACAAGGCAGCGGCGCTGAACCGTAAAGAAGTGGAAAACAATATCAGCTGCGTGCGTCTGTCAGTTGCAAATGTGCTGTGTTGGCCTTTGTTTATGGCCACTGGAAGGAGGCAGGGAGAAAGAGGTGCATTTAAAAAAAAATTCCAGACTAAAGTTTTTCTCTACGGTGTTTTTTAAAACATTTTTAAAGCAAACTTCCTTTTGGTAGTTTTGGTTGCAGTTTAATGATTTGGTGTGTTTTCCCAGAGAAGAACTCAAATCAGCATCCCACTGCATTTAGCAAAACCCATGTTTTTTTTTTCTTTTTTCCCAGAGAGAGCGAAAAAAGGGGGAGAAAGAGAGACAAAGTTGTGCGGTGTTGGTAGAATGAAAGAGGAGTCTGGTGGCAGGAGTGTAGAGGAGGCAGCATATGGCTGTAGAAAGAGCACAGCTGGAGGTAGCATCTCCATCTGAGGATGATGTCAGAGCAGCTGACAGGCTGCCATCCACCCCACCTCCTCCTCCTCCTCCATCCCTCCACCGCCTCCACCCCTCCCCAGTCCTTTATTGTGAGTCTCAGCGGCAGCCTGGGAGAGTTAGTGCTGTGTATGTGTGTGTGTTTGTGGCTGCCGATCAGCGCCAGTTAGGAGGAGGAGGAGGAAGAGGAGGAGGGAGGTGGTATCTCGTTCCCCCTCCAACATCTCCTCCACTTTGCATCTGTCCCTCGCAGTTTGAACAGCGTGTTTTTTTTTTTTTTTTTTGCCTGCCTGCCTGCCTGCCTGCCTCCCTCTTCTTCTTCTTCTTCTTCTTCTTCTCTCCTCTTCTACCCACTCATTGATTCAGAGAGAGAGCGAGCAAGAGAAAGAGCAAGAAAGAAATAGAGAGAGAGAGAGGGAGAGAGAGAGAGAGATACAGCCATTCCCAGCCAGAGAGCCCGGCTATTCTGCTACAGTGGAGTTAATCAAGTTGATGCATACTGCTGCAGGTACCGTTTTGTGTGTGTGTTTGTGTGCATCTGTCTTTTGTGTGTGCGGCTGACTGGAGTATGGGAGTTTCGGGGTGTAGCGGAGTAGTTATTTTGTTTTGTTGTTGGGATCTCCGGTGTGTCAAACCGGTGTGAGGAACTGTGTGAAACTGCTGGTGAGAGCTTCAGTGGTAAAAGTAGTTGCTGCTGCCTGTCTGAGGGGGTAATTGCAGTCCGGGAACACTCTGCTGTGTTTTTAGTTTTGTAGTCGAGCGAGCTGAATTTAAAACCCGGTTTCCTATTTGTGTTGTCAGGCAGTTTGTTTGGGACACTTGTTAATAGAATCCAAAGCGAGAAACCAGTTGTTTGTTTTTTTTTTTTAAATCATTGTTGTTTTTTGAGTAATTTACAAAAAGAAAAATTAAAAAATGTGATAATCTTCTAATTTTAAAAAGAAAACAATGCACATTTCAGTTGATAAAAGAGCAAAAAAATGTCAAAAAGATTACATTTAATCCTGATTATTTAATGCTTTTTTTTTTTTCTTCAAATTTCAGTTAATTCTAAGCGGCTGTAAAATTACTTGAAAGCATGTGCGGCTACTCTACCCACTTTTCCCCCTCCTGTCGGCTGGAGTAGAGGAGACTAATTTAGAAGTTGCAGATTTGAGCTGCCTGAATTGGCTAGACAGCTGTAATCGCACTCCCTCCTAGTCTTAATCTCTTTATCTGGCTAGCAGCTGCCATATGGCCCCCGTCAGCTGGATCAGATGTGGGTAAGCCTCCCTCCCCGGCCGTCCCAGCCTCTCCCTCACCCTCTCCCTCCCTTGCCCCTCTGTGTGTCTCTCCCTCAGACCCCTGCTTGAGCCGGCTGGCCGGGCCGGGCCGAGCAGAGCCGGGCGGGCTGGGTGACGGGCTGCTGCCCTCCTGAGCCTCCGCCGACGGCTCCCTCCCCACCGCCGCCACCGCCGTCTTTATTTTTAGCCATCTTTAAGGATTAGGATTGATGCTGTGACGAGCAGGGCACTTACAGTGATTGTATTGTAAATCTTCTCTTCTGGG